GACTTAGAAGCTTTGATTCTGTGTGAAGGCTCTAATATTTTTGTAAGCAAGTTTCATAGTTCTACGAACCTCTCGTTTGCAAGTTCCAAGCTTCTAGCCCAACATTCAGCTGTCTAAAAATTAAACTAGTTTTTATACTCAATTTCAAGGTGTTGTATTTTTGCTTCTCTTGAATATGTATTTCAGAACCTGTTGGCTCCGTCCCACCTAAAGTGGAGATAAAAGATAAAGTCGGTATATTTTTAGGAAAAGAAAACAAGTCGCTTGCTTTGCTATGTCCTGCTCAATCTTATCCGGTGCCAGCCTACAGGTAAAATGACATAATTAGTCTGTTCCAATACGAGTCCAGCTAAGGACTTAGTCAGAACTTACAGGAAGTCGTTCCTATAGACAAAAAAACCTGTAACTGGAAACACTTCTGAGAGAGTAACTTGCTAGTCAAAGAAAACGCGATGAAAGCAAATAACCTTAAATTTGTTAAAAAATGGAAGTAAATAACGAAATATTTGCGTTAATTGTATAGATCTTAATAATTATTTAGTGATATTTCTACCAAATGAGTGTTGTACCAATGACATGTACACAAACCGACTGACGTTTTTGCAGGAAAAAATGATTTTTTGAATTGCCGTGCACTTCTGCATCCATTCTCCTTTTACTCTCAATTGAGAGAGTAAAATTGTAGTTTGACTGTTCCACAGGTTTTAGTCCACAGTTCAAAGGAACAGACTAAATATCGAAACTTTCTCAAAACTCATATTTCTGCGCAGATCAGCGGAGTCAATTTGTTACTAAATAAAAGTTTTAAAATCAAAAAATTAAAAAGTAGAAAAATAAATAACCCGAAAATATTTTTTTTTGCAATCTTCCTTTGATACGGACTTATATAGTATGTATGTATGTCATTTTCTTCGGAATTTTTTATTTACTTTCATGCAAATCGATATTTCTTTAATTTTCGATCTGACGCCTGTACTAAATCCAGTTTCGTACTTTCCAGTTGCCCAACATTCAGGCCTTTTCTGCGCCGCATAAGTGCTTATCTAACTATTTTCTGAATTGGAAATCACTTATCAAATTTTCAGAACCCGTTGGCAGTGTTGCGCCAAAAGTCAATAAAAACGATGAATTTAGTCACGATCGAGTGGCTGAAAACCTAACAGTTGCTTTGAAATGTCCAGCACAATCATATCCGGTGCCGATTTATAGGTGGGTTTGTATGACATTTTTTTTATACAGTAAAACGAAAGAGAAATGCGTAGTTAATTCAAAGTCTGGAAAAATGAAAACACGTTAAATGTATTAAATTAATTTTAACCTCAAAATGAGTACATAATCTCAAAAAATCTCAAGCCAACATTCAGACACTTTTCGAGCTACTAAAATTCTCAAATCAACAATCAAATGTTTAGTTTCACAGGCTGTTTTAAATTAAACTTTTTGTAGAACCCATTGGCAGCGTTGCACCGCACGTTAACCGCAAAGACGAAATAAACTACGATCGCATACGGATTAATCGCACTATTGCCATACAATGTCCGGCACAATCATATCCAGTGCCTGCTTACAGGTACGAAATGGGGGCGAGACAAATAAGGGATTTTTTTTTTTAAATACATATATACACTGCCGAAAGAAAGTATTGACACAAGGAATTCTTCGCAATATATGCAACAATTTTTACTCTAATATTTTTCGTCTAATTTTTTTATAAAAAATTGGCTCGTTATATAACAAAAAAACATAAAAATATAATTTCTAATTTTTGTGCAAAACTCGCGAAAATGATTCAAAAAATTTCATGCAGATTTTCAACTTTTTAATTAAATTTTTTGGAATTTTTGTAGGTTATACAGTTTTTAGCCAATTAAATTCTAGTTTAAAAATGCAAGTTTGAAGTTATTCAAAAATTGCGTTGAGGATTTTTTTATTGAAGGTGTTTTGCATTTTTTCCATACAAAGTATTTTCCAACATTTTTTTGCTTGAAAGAAACTGCGTGAAAAAATTTGCCAAAAATCAACGGTTCGTCCTAGCTACTTCAAACTTGCTCTTTATTTATTGGACTGCAAAACTGCATGCTCAATAAAATTCTAAAAAATGTTATTAAAAATTTTAAAATTTGCATGGAAATTTATCGAATTTTTCCGAGCTTTGCAAAAAAGTTTAGAAAATATATTTTTATTTTTTTTGTTGTAGTATGACCATATTTTTATAAAACATTGATTTGGATTCTTCCCAACATTCTGTGGCGGTTCGATATCTTTGTTTTCTTTTAAAATAACTTAATTTTTTTTGTATTATCTTCGAATTAGAGCCCGTGGGCAGTGTGGCGCCACACGTCAATAAAAAAGACGGCTATAATCATGATAGCATCGAAGAAAATCGTAGCCTTGCCATTATGTGTCCAGCACAAGCCTATCCTGTGCCGATTTATAGGTAAATAGGCACAAATTTAACTTAAAATCTCTTTAAATTAATACACTTTTATATTATACTTAAAAAAATTACTCCTACGGTTTCGACAGTTCTCTTTTTTGGACTGCGACTGATGTGTCAAACATAGGAGAAAATATTTAAAATCGCATTGAAAAAATTTTTTGGAGTCAAACTTTTTGTATTGTTTGACACTAAAATCAGCTACAAAAAGAGAGCTAAAATTATTTGTCACTTCTACCTCCCTGAATATACATATCTTGTGCCAGGTTTCCACTAAGCACTAAATCACGCAAATTTTAATGACAAACCCGTGCCGTTACGTTACGAAAAAATTGTCATTAAATTTGTTTCCACATGGCATTTTTTAAATGGCGTAAATTTTTCGTCATTTCATTGCCTAGTAGAAATTCGGCATTATTCTTAAAAACATTTTCACAAAAATTTTCGATTTATAAAGCTTTTTTTTATTAATAATATCAATAAACTTTTAAAGCTTCCTTTAAAACTATTTTTTTTTTCTTATAAATAGAATTGACAGTCAATTGAAGTTAGAAAAAACGAACATGGCAGTAGCAACATCTCCTTTAGTTAGAAAACAACTTTGCCGATAACTAAAAGTGTGTCTGCAAGATAAGAGCACATAAAACACCCAACATTCAGACAGCAGTCCAATTTACCCCCAAGAATATCAAACTTCTAATTACATACCTGCCAAAAACTATTGAAATTCTTCATGTCACAGAACCACTCGGCAGCGTTGCACCAAAAGTTAGCATTGCCGCACAACTTCAAAATGCTGCTGTCGAAAATCATTCAAGCGTCGCGCTCTTTTGTCCAGCTCAATCGTTTCCGGTACCAGCTTACAGGTATTTATTTAAAAGTACCTCGTCTTCTACTATTTTACAAACATTTACGACAATTTAAGTAATCGCCCTTCAGTCAATCAATTGACTCTACAAAAGTTGTGTAGTGGCAAAAAGTTTTCTAAGCGCTTAATAGTTTGTGTTGGCGGGTACACTTTTGAACCGCATTAATTATTCATGGCAGTTTTTAACTAACCTTGTTTGTTGTTAGTTTCATGGCATTTCGTAAAATTGATTTATGCAACCTTTTATTGTAGAACCTGTTGGCAGTGTTGCACCGAAAATAAGCGTCGGTGATAGGCGTAAAGATGCTGAGGCGCGCGTTAATACGTCACTGAGCATATTTTGCCCGGCACAATCGTATCCGATGCCGGCTTTTAGGTAATGATGCGGTTATAATTTAAAAGTGAACGATATGTATGAAATTAAAGTGAAAATTTTGTATTCATTTTAAAAACTAATTGAGTCAATTTTCGTGTCAAAAAAGTATATCTTTTGCTATTAAAATCATATTCGATTAGCTACTTGCTTTTGATATCCCAAATTCACGCAGTTCCCTTTTTTTAGGATGTTTGATGTACATACATATCTTTTTGAAAATTTTTTCAGAACCTGTCGGCAGTGTTCCACCAAAAATTAATCTCATCAACCGCCGCAATGATGCTGAGGCGTGTGTTGGTGATACCTTAAGCATATTTTGTCCAGCACAATCCTATCCTGTGCCGTTATTTCGGTAAAAATATTTAAAAACCACTTTTTCGATTTATTTTTACAATCAGCAGTTTTTCTGTAAGCATCTAAAGCATCTCGCATTTCTCTCCTCTTCTTTTCATAATCGTTAGGGTTATCAGTATTATCAGTGGTTATCTTAGTTTCACCTGTTATCTATATAGCCATCGTTATCGATAGCAATTTAATTATTATCGATAGCAGTTTCATCGATGCCCTGAACAAACTTCTTTTTGTCGTTATCGATAAGATAATACAAGTGATTCTCATCTGATCTTGATCATGATCATGAATTTCATAAGTATCGAAAGAGTCGATATATTGTTATCGATTTTTTTTTTGATTTCGGTGTCATTGAAACTATTAAGGGCGTCATCTATATTGTCACGATTATCGCTATAGATATCGATATCCATATTGCAAATGATATCGATTTTTTATAACTAAATTATCTTTATCGGTATATTTATTGTCACACGTATGGTGCAATTTTCATCTTCATTATCAGTTTTGAGACCTCCTTTAAAAGAGTAACATTATTATTATCGCTATTACCGTCATCATGATTGTTATCGATATCAAAAATAAGATTGCCTAAAAGTTTACGTTTAGCTTCCAACATTCAGCAGTTTGTACAAATTTCTCATTATATAAAAAAGCTCTAGATTTCACACATTTTTCTTAGAACCCGTGGGCAGCGTCGCTCCAAAAATTAGTGTAGGTGAGCGTCTACGTGATGCTGGTGCTAAATTTGGTGCCACTTTTACGTTATTCTGTCCAGCGCAGTCTTATCCGATGCCGAGTTACAGGTATTGCAATTTCATAGTCGAAACTTTAAGTGAAAATATTCTTCTTACTCTTGTGTATACATACATAATCTAAGGGTTATAGCGCATTCTGGCAGTTTTCTTAAAATTTGTATATACAATTTTTAATTTTTATCTAAACATTGTTCCTTTTGCTCTTCATAGAACCCGTCGGCAGCGTGGCGCCAAAAATTAGCGTAGAAAATCGTTTGAAAAATGCGGAAGCACAAATTGGTCGTAGTTTTACGCTCTTTTGTCCGGCGCAGTCATATCCTGTGCCTCTGTACCGGTAATTTTTAAAAAAATATCAAATCTTAAAACTCAAAGATCTTTCATCGAACCCTAATTTCCAACATTCAGTGCGCGTTTTTCAATAAATATTTTTTACACAACTCTATAAACTTTTTTTCTTCAGAACCCGTCGCAAGCGTAGGTCCAAAAATCAATGCTTATGATGAGTTAACCAAAGTGCGCGGTCGAAATGCAACCGATGTGACGTTGCTATGCCCCGCGCAGTCTTATCCAGTGCCACTTTTTAGGTAAATTTCTCAATTTTTTTTACATATGAAATGGTGGTTTTTGATAATTTTGTTGAAAAAATGTTTGAAAAAACTAGAAAGCTATAGACACTAAGCTAGAAAACGTCTCCAACATTCTGCAGTTTTATATGCTTCTACTTATATAAAATAGTTCTCTGTAGAGCGTATTCATGTTTCATTATATTTTTAAATTATTTTCCCTCCTTTTCCGATTGTACTTAGAACCCGTTGGCAGCGTAAGTCCTCGGCTCACCTCCGGCGATAAGACACGAAATGTCGATATTGCTTTGGGCTTTAGTCAAACGCTGCTCTGTCCAGCTCAAGCATACCCGGTGCCAATGTTTAGGTAATATTCTCATTTTCGTTGTTGGTGTTTCCGACAGGGTAGGAGTATGATGTAATGTGGAACGATTTTCCGTCATCCCTTGTCAAATTTGGTTTGGAGACAAACCGGTTTCGGCGTTGTGCCATCTTCAGTGTCATTTTTCGTTTAGGTAATACTTGCATATCTTTCATGTTGGAAAAGCTAGCAAAATAATAAGCTGACTCGCTCAAACTTGAAGAGTTGGAAAACTCGAAATCCGAAAATGGCTTCACAAAAATTTGGAAAATCCCGGATAAGTTTTCAGATTTTCGAGGTTTCTCCCAGTTTAAGTGAAACGCTGAATGGATGGAATGGAAAATATCTGATTGGATAAACGAAGTCAGTCGTTGGCGCCTAATTTTCCTTCTTCACAGAAATCGTTAGATTGAAACCAGGCCCTCAGCACTCTGCTCCTATTGCCCAGATCTCAGTAGTAGGTATTCCCTCATTTTGGACTCTCTAACAAGCTTGGATGTTGCACTAGATTCCGGACTCAACTCAGTTCGAAACTATGCCATCGAAAAAAAATCGGCGCCCGGGACACTCTTAAAAGGTCTTGGAGTCAGTCAGTGATTCTAAGATACTTACTTGGAGTACCCACAAGAAAAGTAACTTTTGAGAGAGGGATCAAAGCTCTTGGGATCGCAGACTGACTGCCTATAAAGAAGGCGAGTAAAGTCCATCACCGCCGCAAGCTTTATTGTCAAGTCAATTGTGTTTTGAAAGCGGACTGTATGTCTACAAGATACACTACTAGATCTTGTACATTAATCCGTGAATATTGTAGCTCTGTATCGCTCAACTCGAGTTAAGATTCCTAGACGGCGCTGTCAGGGAAGTGAACTCTGTGCATGTGGCAAAATTCGATCTCCGTAATTTGATAGTGTCAGTCTTTTGAGTTCGTTTCCTATGTTCAATATATTTAAATTGGAGAATGGTACTACATACTTCCTTCATTCAAGCCTTCTAAATGCCTTAAGTCGTAGGCCGTTTCTAGCTACATACTTCGCATTTCACACATTCTCATATCTATTGGTTAAATGTTGATCGGAGTCTTTGGCATATATGGCATTTTAATTGGACTTCTATCAAGTGAAGTAAGCTTCTAAATTTAAGGTTCTCAATACCCAGCAATGCAGTTCTCAATGTTTCTTTTATATTTAAACAATCATTTCTTACAAATTTTTTTTCTTAGAACCGGTGAGCAGCACCTTGCCAAAGGTGTCTTCATTCTCCAAATTCGATGTGAAAAGTTATTCTATGGGCAGCACTTTTGCTCTACTGTGTCCGGCGCAAGGTTTTCCAGTACCAGTTTTTAGGTAAAATTAACGCAAAATTTTGTAGTAGTATTCTTTTTTTACAAACAATTAAGCATCGTATCAGATTTTCTCAAATCAAACGTTCTGTGTTTTTTAGTATGCAAAAAACATTTATGCAGTTTTCATCTTATTGAAATAGAGTTTTTCATTCATATTTTAACGCTTGTTCCTCAGAACCTGTTTCCAGTACAGCACCCAAGGTTCCTCCATTAAGCGCACGCCCTTTAAGTGTGGCACACCACTCAAGTATCTCAATTTTATGCCCTGCGCAAGGTTACCCAGCGCCAAATTTTCGGTAAGAAACGAGTATATGTAGATACAAGATATGTACAACTTGTGGCATAGAGAATAAAAAATAAAAAAAAAGCCAAGTATTCAGGCAGTTACACTTTAATTTATACCAGATTTGATTTAAGGAATGTATGTGATTTATCGGCGCTATCGGTAACTTGGCATTATATTTATATGCTTAACTTACTTAAAAAAAAACATTGCCTTTCAGAGCCTGTTTCTAGTTCGCCGCCCAAAATCAATGCGCTGACGTATAAACCTAATGTTGTTGAGCTTAATGCGCAAACTGCAGTTCTTTGTCCAGCACAAGGTTATCCAGCGCCAAATTTTAGGTGCGTTTAGGCTAAGAAAAATCGAAAATAATAATAAAATGTTTAGCGTAGCATGCTTTCGATTAGTGCTTTAGAGAGACTTCCGCTGCAAAGAAAAGGCGAAAGAGTTTTTGGTGGGTATTAAGTAAAGGCATTCAGGCAGTTTTCAATGTTAATTTAAGGAACTGCATAATCTTAATCGACTGAAATTCAATGATTTAATATTTCAGAGCCTGTTTCAAGCACCGTTCCTCGTATACCTTCCATAATGAGCAAACCCTTGAACATGGCGAGCGGTAGTAGCATTTCACTGCTTTGTCCAGCGCAGGGGTTTCCGGCGCCTAATTTTCGGTAATTAGAAGACTAAAATAGTATACTCATGGTGAAATTTTTATCCGTAGTTGACTTTTTAATTTTTCGGATTTGCAAACTTTTCTGAAGTAATTATTGATTAACAAATTTGTAAAAAAAAATGTTTTTTTTTAACTACTTTTTGATCTAGCTGCTTACCTACTGCTTATCAATCACATATTCTAATCCACTTAAAAGCATTAACCAAAAATTTCAAAATGACAAAAAAATGTATATGGAAACTTAGCTTAATAGCGTAATGAAATGTGTAATTTTTAATGCCAAAAATGTTTGTAATTTAACGCCTAGTGGGAATCCGGCACCATTTAACCTTTATCGACTTTTCTTTGTAGAGCCCATCTCCACGTATACCATCCTTAGTACAAAAACCGTTAGAACTACAATCCGCAGCGGATTTATCGTTGCTTTGTCCAGCACAGGGTTATCCAGCGCCTAATTTTAGGTGAATTACTAAGTTTGTTTTGTTCAAATATTTTATACAACATTTTTTTGTAGGTCAGATATGAGCGCATTTGAGAAAATTTATTGACATGCATACCGCACTAACTTCAGGCAGTTTACTTACGTCACTTTTTCTAGTGACGTGGGTTTATTTAATTATATGTATTCAAGCATTTTAAAGTAGGTACTTAGAGCTTTGCAGCATTGAATAAGTTAAATAAAATATTTTGTTTTTCTGCACTTTAGAACCCGTCGGCGGTAAAGCGCCAACGCTACTCTCGCACGATATGCGTCGCTCATGGATCGAGCGTATGCAGGCACGCAATTTGGCTATGTTCTGCCCGGCGCAGGCGTTTCCAGTGCCAGCATTCAGGTGGAAAATGCACTTTAAAATATGTATTTATTTATTAACATATGTATTTTATGAATGATTCGTTAGACTATTTGACTTTTTATTTATGATTGATGTTGCTTTTTCACAGAGCCTGTTAGCGCAAAAGCGCCCACTCTTTCCGTTGACACCAAATGGTCGGGCATTGAGCGTCGGCAAAGTGCTAGCTTTGCTATTATGTGTCCGGCACAAGCGTATCCAGTGCCGATTTTTAGGTTAGAAAGAAAATTTAGTATGCCAATATGTTTTTCAGTTTACCAATTTCTTTGTGAAAACTAAGGTCGAAATTAAAATTTAGGGAATCTATTGCGTTGTATACGAGACGAGCAGTTCGTTCACGAATGTTATAATTCGAAATATGAATTTTTACGTGAGGAGACAGATGTATTGTGAATGGCTATGGTTTTTGTTCACTTTCTATTGTGAACCAACACGAACTCGAGAGCAAGCAGAGCCGCTGTATTTTAATTCGGTGCACTATGTCGTTGTAAAGCTCATAAAGCTCGTCGTTGAACCGTAAATCTTCTGCAAAATCTTTCTATTGAATACTCCAAGATCCGCCTAATCAGATGTTGCCATTATCCACGCTAATGACAGGAGATACTTTGTCTTGTCCTCGTTGACCACCAGAACCAATCGCTTTGCTTCCATATCCAACTTCGCGGTTTTTATTAGCGATAATATCGATGTCATCGGCATACGCCAGCAATTCCGCGCTCTTGTAAAAATTGTTCCTGAGCGGTTCAGTTCTGCAGCTATTATTATCTTCTCCAAAATAAAATGAATCACATGAAAGAAACCCCGTTTGGTAGCAAATTGTGGATTATTGTGGATTGGGCAGAGCACACTTAAATTCCAGTCGTCGGGTATGCGTTCGTCTGACCATATTCTGCTTAAGCGTTGAAGCTCCTCGCCGCCGTACTAGAATAGTTAAGCTGGCAGGCTGTAAGCTCCAGCAACTTTGTGTTTTTCAAGCGCGCTATTGCTATTCGAACCTCATCATCGACTGGGAGTACGGGTTCGTCTTCTCCACAGCTGTCAGAGTTGTTGCCATTCAGTAAGGTGGAAAAATGTTGTCTCCATAATTTAAGTACGTTCTGGACATTGGTCACTAGGTCGCCATTGTTGTTCTTACAGGAGTTCGTCCTGGTCTTGAAAGCTTCCCTAAGTCGCCTAACTCTCTGGCAAAATTTTCGGGCATTTTTCCTATCCAGCTTGATATACTAGCTCTTAGTACAGCACTTAGTATTCCGGCCTCTCT